CTCTTAGAGGAATTCATCAAATCTCGACGTGATTGCCCCAGATTGACTGTAGTTGGCACAACAAAGTCTTCAAATTTTGTCCCAATAAAGGGTAAACAAGTTAGGAAAGCATTAATTAGGAGAAGCAACATGTCCGTGCTTAAGGTCTTCAGGTGACATGCCCCTGCATATGATTTTTCTTGAAATGATCCGCCAATTACTCAACAGAGCTTCAGGCCTTAAGAATAGACTCATCACTGGTGCTTATATGTGAGTTTCCTTGATATCAAACAAATGTTTTGCAGTTAGAAAATTTTATTATGAGAATGAAAATTCTAATGCAACAGTCATGTAAGTCTTGAAGATTTTGAAAGATATCGCACAAATTTTGCGAGCTAAAGCACCATTTATTTTTGTATAGGAAAAACATATGATACCAACATAACTATTTAGAACATTCATGGGAGTCAGGAACACTATCTCATTGAAGTATGCTTTCAAAATAACCTTGCTTCAATTAGGACTTTTGAAGGTTGTAACGTGGTCTGGTTCATGGGTTTTTTAGAAAAAAGATTTTAAGGCTCAAAATATTTGGTGCCCACCCCCTTCATGGTGTTCTCCAATCCTATGTTCAGTTAATTCAACATGAGCGTTCATCTCTCAAAAGGATTTTGTGACGGTTAAGGAAACGACGAGGTTTTCGGAGTAGAAACCACCCTCATGTCTTCGTGTTTGTAGTCACCAATTTGTTCTTTGTTGAGGACTTTTCTTTGCAGTCCTTTTCTTTGCAATTTTATTTTCCCTAACTTTTGCCTGAACTAATTCTTTTGAATTGATAGTCCAGCGGGATGCCTTAATTTTGCCTAAGTCACACGTTTTCATGTTTTTTGACTTAGCAGGCTTTTTCTTTTTTCTCGATTTTTGACTTTTTGAACAAAATGTGTGACATTAGCTTGCATTTGCTTGTTGAGAAGATTGTGATTGCCTCGTTTCTTGATGAATGAGGGATAACATTGTGATTCCACATCTTCTGGATTCATTATACATGAAAGATAGCCCTCGTAGTTTCTCTTCAAAAAACATCTTCCTTATGAATTTCGAACACTCGGTCAGATTAACTAAAAACTACCCTGCCCCAGGTTAAAATTCAAGGTTTTTTTGTATAGAAAAGAAACTTCTACTTCAAGGCTCAAAAGGGGTTAGCAAGGGATTATCTTCCTTATATCTCCGGTGTTTAGGGATTTGAAACAATGCATGTACATCATCAGCAAGATTTTATCCAAAAGCAAACAAACAGAGATTTTGTGTTCTTTAGATCATCATCCTCCCTTCAATCTCTGCCTAGGCAAGAAAATGAGCAACAATTTGGTATCATAGTGCAAAAGTAATTTAAAATTTGAAAACAAACATGAGTGAAACGAATGAATTTCTTCAAGACAAACATACTCATTGTATTAAGATAATCATTCAGATGCAAACAAGTTCTTACATGCAAACAATGTTTTGATAAACAAGAAAAATTACAAAAAGCATAAATAAGTTAATGATCTGGGAAGGCTTTCCATCTGGACTTGAATTACCGAAAACATCCTTCAAAAGTCAAAGTCACCATCAATCGTGTTTACTCTTCGACGCATGCTTGATTTGAACTTCAAAACCAACGTCCTTAAATGACAAGATACCACTTCTGACCAACTTCTGAACCTCAATCTTCAAAGCAAAGCAACCCTCCAAGTCATGCCCAGGAGCACCTTGATGAAAGGTACAAGCCAAATCAGCTTTGTAGTACCAATGTATCTTCTCAGGAACCTTCGGTGGAGGTCGGGTCTAAACCAAATTCCTCTGCATCAGGATAGGGAACAACTTTGTATAGGTAATTGGGATTAGATCAAATTGGGTTTTCCTCTGATTAGGAACTTGCTGATTTTGTTGATGAATAGGAGGAACATGATGATTTTGACGATGAATATTTCTTCCTATGGTTCTCTTCTTGGAAAAGTTATTATCAAACTTCTTCACACCATTAGCTGAGCTACCATCTTCATATGAACATCCCTTCCCAACATCTTCTTCTAGACGCACTCCCACATTCACCTTGTCAGGAAAGTCATTAGGTGCATTAACCATCACCTTCTCATGAGAGAATGATTTTAGAGTTTCAGTGAATACTTTTATCATCGCTTCCTCCCTCCTAGAAGGATTAACTTGGGCGGCAACCAGAATTTCAACCAAACCAGTTAAGTGCTCCATACTATCTTTCAAAATAGTCATCTCTCTACGGAGTTCAGAAACCTCTTGCTTGATATTCTCCATTGTTTTCTTAGCGCGAGTGTTGTACTAGTGAGACCAAAGGAAAAAATAAGACTTGGAAAAAGACCTTTGAAAGTGAAACAAAAAACATAGAGTGATGCATGATATGCAAAAGAGAGTTTTTATCTGACTTTCAAGGAGCTCAAGATATTAAGTTGTAAACATCAAAGTATGAAGATTGGATCAAAGCGTTGATTAAGTTATCATCAAGATCAATCATCCATTTTGGTGGATTAGGGTTTTCGCCCTATCAACACCCAAGATCCATTGAGCTTGACGAAACTTGTGATGTTTACAAAGAAAGACCTCCAAATTCCTTCAAAGTCAAGTGAAAAGGGTTTTATGGATGCATGAATGCATGGCTATGCAACAACCACAAGCAAGGTCACAAATAAAGTCGAAAGGTTCAACGTCACGAGCATGGAGTCAAGGTAAGGAACATCCCCAAGGTATGTACTAACGGTTTAATCACACCTGTAGAACAAGGTTCTAAGAGTTCCCGGAGTCTACATCCCTCCTTCGGATATTACCAACGTCTTGATTACTCAATAATCAGCAATATTCTCAAGAGAAATTCATCCGAGCGTAGCATCGTGTAACAATTACTTCTGGATTACTCCGTTATAATCTCCGCGCTACACCTAAAAGGCCAAGATGGGTTAGGGTTCTACGGTTCCCAGCTTCTCTGGCTCCCAGGTCGAAAATAATAATGTCTTCCCGATTACTCGGTAAACAAATATTACGTTCAAAAGGGCCTTCCACTGAGTGGGGGATCTCATGCCTTCTTCTACGAGATTACTCCCTCAAATTTAACATGACTATACCGCCCGTCCTATTCCTAAGTGTAACTTAGTCCGGGTATAGGACTTGTCCTTTGTAAATATTATCAACACCCAACTAATCATAATATATACATATAATCAAACAATCAAATAATGATAAAATAGATAAAACAAATTAGGCTTAACCCACTTAGGGATGGACCAGCAAGAGGTCAATCTTTCCCCAACAGAGTCGCCAATTCTGTAGCGGTGAAAATCGGAGATCAAGCTATTAATTAACTTGACTCACCAAAGCAAGAGTCGCCACCGCGCTTTATTATTTCCAAGGGAAAAGGGAAAAGAGTGAAATAAAACCCTAAAATATGCAATGTAAAATAATACTTAAAAGTAATAAAAATACAATGCGTTTTGGAAAGAGATCGAGAGTTCGGGGGTTGGTTATGCAATGGGAAGGTATTAGCACACAATGCATCTGCGGTACTCCGCAGGAACCTTTTGAAATATCTGTTTTTTGGTTAAAATTGTTTGTTTAATCAAAATGGGTGTGGACGAGATTTTGAAAATACGACGACCTAGTGTCAAAGTTTTGACTTAAAAGGTGTGAGTTGTAAAATTCAGTTTTTTAGGAAAAATTAACTTAAGGTTAACAATAATAATAAAACAAAAATGAATGAAGGGATTCACACAATTGTAACAAATATATTTGATGACATGAAGTCAACAAAGTTAAAAACATTTCTCTTGGAATTGAGCAAACAAGCGAAATAAGATAAACATCAAATTACAAATATTCGAAAATCCACAAGGAAATAAAACAAATAAATGTAACTAATCATCTAAAAAAGTTATTTGAACTAAATTGAAAAAATTAAGATTACTTGTTAAAATAATTCTAAACTAACTACAAATTTCAAGGCTATAAAAAATAATTCTAAAATTACTAAATTAGATCTAAACTAAATTAAAATTTTAAAATTAGTAAATTACATTTAAATTAAATCGAAATTATAAAGGCATTAAATTAAATCTAAATGAAAACTCTAAAATTATTAAATTAAAACCTAAATCAAATTAAACCTAAACCAAATAAAATTCTAAAGTTACTAAATTAAATTTAAAAAAATTTCTAAAGTTATCAAGTTAAAATCTAAATCGAATAAAAATTCTAAAGTTATTAAAGCTCTAAAATTACTAAATTATATCTAAACTAATTTAAATATAAACTAAGTTAATTATAAAATCACTAAGTTATAAAATTAAAATTCTAAAGTTGTTAAATTAAATCTAAACTAACTTAAATTTCTAAAGTTACTAAAATAAATCTAAGCTAACTAAAAATTCAAAGGTTATCAAAATAATTCTAAACTAACTAAAAATTCTAAGATTATTAAATAATTCTAAATTAATTCCATGGTTAAATTACTTAACTAAAACAATGCGATTACTAAATAATTTTGAAATTAACTAATTAAGAAAAACTATCTAATAATGATAACTAATTATTTATATGAGTTAAATTAAAAAAAAGGAAACTAATTAAAATAAATTAAAACTAAGCTAATTTAAAATGTGTCTAAACAAAATAATGAGGTGAAGAATGAAGCAAATCAAAGTGGGCCTAAAGAAATGAAATAATAAGTCCAAGTTGTAAAACAAATAAAGATCAGAAAACAAAAATAATTAAAAAAAAATGATGGGCCGGACCGGGTCAGGGTGGTCCGGACCCATCTTCCAAATTCACAAAATTGGGGTTGAAGAAAACCCTACTATTCTTTATCTCAGAACGGCCATAGTTGCAGAAATAAAGCTTCCCTCTCCCACCTTTCTCCCCATTCATATAAACAAACGCATACTCATCATTAATCTCATTCCAGTGATCAATAGAAACCTCATCGTTAGAGGAGTTGGAAACCGCGGTATCGGAGAGGGCTATGGGACCTGTGGCGGTGAGGATGTAACGCATTTGAAGTGAGTACATAATCCACTGATGAGCAAAGAATCCAAGCGTAATGGCAAAGAAGAAGGTGACGAAATAGAGGTATGCCAGAGAGGGATGAGGTTAGTTAAGAGTAGATGGGTTACGGTGAATTGATGGTGTTGGAAGAAATTAGAACTAGACAACATAGCATCTTTCGATGCAGTTGAGTCACTTGGAACTGGGGCTTTTTGTCTAGATAAGTTTACATCATTTGCAATAGGTCCAGAGGTTCTTCTACGAGCAGGATCTGATGAAGACCAACCGGTATGTCTACCCTCTTCCCCACGTGTTGGTCTATCAGCAGCACTCACAACAGCTGGTGGTATGCCAGAACTTGGCCCAGCACCAGAACCGACGGCACGTGAAGGAGGAGTGGCAATTTGAGATTGCTGATACTTCAAAATAGTCCAATCAAAGACATAATCAAACTGGAACCCTTCACGAATGAAAAGGTCGCGAAAAAGCCTTTTCAAAAATGTATAATCTGGTTTATCATCAAACTGCAACGACCGACAGTAATGGAGTACGAAGCAAATTCGGAGGGGTAGCCACGACACAAGGACTCAATAGAAGTAGAAACTTTTTTCTCGCTGATTTTTCATACTTCTGTTTCTTAGTACCTGCTTTCAACCCCTGCCATGGTGATTGAATTGATGAGAAATTGATTAGAGAGAAGAACCAGATTTGTGGATTTGTTTTTGTTGTTTTGAGAGTGATAAGGAAAGGGGCCGACTACAACACAAGCAACAATGACAGCGGATTCTCCTTCCCTCGCGATTGGTATGCATCTTCAAACTCTAACCTCTCATCAACTAATTCCCTCTCTCAGTTCTTTTGCAGTTTAACAAAAACCAACAAAACTCGGTTTCCCTTCTCATCTTATCATTTATGGGAATAACAAAAACCCTCATATGAATCTCTATCTCAAATTCACTTTACTAATTAATTACTTTACTATTCCAAAGTTCTATTCTATTTTCTCATTCAATCAATATGCTTGTAGATTCAGAGAAAACTAAGACGACAAAATCTCTCTACATAGTCTCTCTAATCACTCAGTTCAAAGGTTACCGCGGGTTAGCAATAACGCGCGCACATAAGAAAGGAAAAAATGATATGAAGCCTCCGAGCGATGTCATAACGGTATTCGAATGAGAAATAGCGAGAAAAAAAAACAAATAAATACAACAATAATTCAAAGGTAGAAGGCTGTGAACCTGGGATAATGTTGAAAGCTTCTTTGTCGACTCTACGACAACAACTTCTACGAATGTCCAATGAGGTGAATTCCCGCCTTTTAGTCTTCTTCAAATTAAACTTCTAGTGTGTAGGCAGTAACTTGAATGAAGTAAAATAAAAGAGGTTTTGTAATATTTTTGTATGAGATGCTTGTGTTTGCAGGGTATTGAAAAGAGAAGTTAGTGATTCCTGGTGATGTGAAATGGTTTTGGATAGAGACAGGCTGAAAATTATGAAGTTCTTGCTGGGTGTTTCTTCTTGTCAGATTTTCTATGTTGCTGGTATATATCCTCTTTCTTTTTTTGTTAACCAAGTCTTAAGTTTATATAGAGAACATAATGAAATTTTGGGGGGAAAATGTTGTGAAAGTTGGTTTTGTTATAACTGTTTTATTACTTTTTTGTGCAAGTTAAAGCTTTCCTTACTTGTGCAAAATTGGGACAGCATAGCAGAACTAGTTTGACTGCTGCAACATAGGTTGATTTTGGACAGAACTTATACAGTTTTGGGACTGTAAGACAGAGTTTGTAGCAGTGGTTCTGGACAGCAAACAAAAGACAGTTTTGGGGCATTATTTTTGGACTGATGCGCAGGGTTTGGGAGCAGCATACTAATTGACAAGTTCACAACAATTTAACAAACTAATGAAAGTAAAGATCCTGTGTTATTTTATTATTCAAAAACCATTCATAGAAATGTGCAAGATTTTAAATAGTAAACAGCTGAAGGGGTTTGGCTGTCAAGATAATGATTTACAAATTGCAGTGCCCGGAATGTGAATTAAACAAGATTGTATAAACAAAGAAAAAAACTATTTAATGGCATTAGTGGTAACTAGTATGTCTTGTTACACAAAATTGCTCTAAAGGAAAAAAATTTCTCTACCTAAAGTGGACACACCAGTACAAACAACGAAATAGATCAGCTAGACATTACTTAAAACATCAAAACTAATAAAATAATCATCGAAAAGTATAATAATTCAAATTAGAGTGCAAAGAATCCCAATTGATTTTAAAAAAGATGTCAAGCAAGTAATTGACAACAATAAATTCTCATAACTCAAAAATATGGCATTACAATTCAATAATATCCATTATATTACTTAAATTAAACAAAAATCAACAAAAACCCTAATGAAATTAAACTCAGGAAAGCAAGAACCTCAGAATCCAAGCTTGGTACGGCGCCAGTGACGACGCTTAGCGTTACCTGATGGTGTTGTCAGTCCTCATCCGGATCCAGTAAGGGATGGGCCTGTTCTGCCTCATCTTCTTCGCCAATTTCTTCTTGATCATGAAGGTCTTATGTGACGGCATTTTCGTTTCGCTGAGATGCTCGACTGCTCCGTCGAATGATAAGAACCCTAATGTTATTTGACAAATTTGGATATTTTGGCTTTATGGTATTGGTTACTTGAAATGAATCCAAATCTTAATTCAAATCTCAAATCCAAGTTAGCTTGCAAACCACAAGAATTCAAGGAATTCTCAACCCTGATTCGCGTCTTCACCTCATAGTAATTTACAATACAGACCAATAGCGTAAATCGTGCCTTTAAGAAATTTAATCGACAATCTACTTTAATCCAATGATCGCTACAGTTCAATTGCAAAGTGACTTGAAGTAGTCCATAAGCAATCAAATAATCATTGGACTAAAACTCCAGTTTCATGAATTATCCCAGCAGAAAAATCAAACGTTCTTGAGAAAACGTCTGTGGCATGACTTGAACTTTAATCTTCGAAGTAATCTCATAAACAACACTATTTGTGATACTTTGCAAAAGAATCGCCTCGGGACGTTGAAAATTGAAGAAGTTATGACCATTTGAAATTGAACTTGCAAGAGTTGACTTTTGATCGAAATGCTTTGAATCAACTTGAAAACTTGATCTTTCTTCGCATAGTCAAAGCTCGAAAGTGAGACGTTAAAACCGACCGTATTTCGTGACCTTGACTTATCTTAAAATGCAAAAAATAAAGATGGGATCTTAGGTCAAAAATTGGAGTACAACACAGAGCGCCTGGTTCTGAGCTAAAACACTTAACCGTGTCAGTACAAGATCCAGCGTCAGAAAAACATAATGGCAGGAACATATCAACACAGCAACAATGACAACAATGAAGATAGAGACAGATTCAGCGGCAAACCTCCAGTATTTGATGGAGAGAATTTTGATTACTGGAAAGACAGAATTAAAAGCTTCTTTCTGGCACATGATGTTGATCTGTGGGACATGGTGACAGATGGATACACGCACCCAGTGAATGCTAGTGGTCAGAAGATTGACAGGAAGGCAATGTCTGATCAACAAAAGCGTGACTTCAAAAATCACCACAAGGCCAGTACCATTCTTCTCAGCGCCATCTCTTACGTTGAATATGAAAAGATATCCAACAGAGACACAACAAAGAACATGTTTGACTCACTCAGAATGACGCATGAAGGCAATATTCAGGTCAAAGAAACTAAAGCTCTCGCGCTCATTCAGAAGTATGAGGCATTCAAAATGGAAGAAAGTGAATCCATTGAAACAATGTTCTCAAGATTCCAAATTCTGGTGGCTGGTCTCAAGGTTCTGGACAAAGGATACTCTACTGCTGATCATGTCAAGAAGATCATCAGAAGCTTGCCAAAACAGTGGAGGCCAATGGTTACAGCGCTGAAGCTAGCTAAAGATCTAAACAAAATTTCTCTGGAGGAACTTGTCAGCTCCCTCAGAAGTCATGAGATAGAGCTAGAAGCTGATGAACCTCAGAAGCAAGGTAAGCCTCTAGCATTAAAATCTAACAAAAAATCTGACTCTAAAGTTTTGCAGGCAGTTGAAGAAACATCTGATGGGTCCTCATCAGAAGAAGACGAACTTTCCCTCCTCTCCAGAAGAGTGAACCAACTATGGAAGCAGAGGCAAAGGAAGTTCAGGAATCCCAGAAGATCTGATCAGAATGAATCCTCTTCCAGATACAGAAGGTCAGACTCTTCCTCTGGATACAGAAGATCTGAAGGCTCTTCAGGAAGCAGAAAGTCAAACACCAAGGGCATCACTTGCTATGAATGCAATGAGCAAGGACACTATAAGAGTGATTGCCCAAAGCTTCAGAGGGAAAAGCCTAAAAAGAAGTTTGGAAGAGAAAAGAAGAAAAGTATCATGGCTACATGGGATGACTCTGACTCGTCTGAAGCTGATTCAGAATCAGATGATGAGAGAGCAAACATAGCTCTCATGGCCAACATATCAGAAGACAGTGAAGCTTCTGAATCAGACTCAGAATCAGACACCGAAGAGGTATTTCCTGATTTTGCAATTAATTTTACTAAGGCTGAACTTGCTGAAAGCCTTAACGAAATTCTGGAAAGATATCAGCAGATCAGAGTTAAATTCAGAAACCTGAAAAGGAATCTTGAATCTGACTCTGATAAAACTGAGAGTCTTAAATTAGAAAATTCTGAGCTGAAAAATAAAATTTCAAAATTAGAAAATGCTTTACAAAACTCTCAAAAGGAAACAATTTCTGAAACTCCCAGCAGCGCTGATGAGATCATCAAGGAATATGATCATAGCTTTCAGAAGTTCCTTGCTAAAAGCATAGATAGAAGCAAAATGGCTTCAATGATCTATGGAGTTAGCAGAAACGGCAGAAAGGGAATAGGATACCAAGGTAAGGTTCCTACACCAAAGAATGTCATGGATTTAACTATTAAACACACTCCTCTGAATTCACACTTTGTGTATGGTCACACACATGACATAAAATATACTAGTAGTATTTATTCTGTGAAACCAAAATTCAACAAGAGTTTTGGTAAAGCTAACAAATCAGGACCCAAGAAAATATGGGTACCTAAGGATAAAATAATACATGTTGCAGATATCTTTAGCAGAAAATCTGAAACACCAGTCATGGTACCTGGACTCTGGCTGCTCACGTCACATAACGGGAAGAAGGCATATGTTCCAAAGCCTGGAACTTAAGCCTGGAGGCCACGTAGGCTTTGGAGGCAATCAGAGGGGAAAGATCATTGGCTCTGGAACTGTAGGTAATGGAAATCTTCCCTCTATAAACAATGTTCTGCTAGTAGATGGATTAATGCATAATCTGTTATCCATAAGTCAATTAAGTGATAACGGTTATGATATAATCTTTAATCAAAAATCATGTAAAGTTGTTAGTCAGAAAGATGAGACTATCCTATTTAATGGAAAGAGGGAAAACAACATTTATAAAATCAAACTTTCTGAACTGAAAAGTCAGAATGTAAAGTGTCTTCTGTCTGTCAACAACGAGCAATGGATCTGGCACAGAAGATTGGGGCATGTTAGTATGAGAAGAATATCTCAGATTAACAAACTCAATCTGGTCAGAGGACTTCCTAATCTGAAGTTCAATTCAGATGCTCTGTGTGAAGCATGTCAGAAAGACAAGTTTGCAAAACCTTCTTTCAAATCTAAAAATGTTGTTTCTACCTCTAAGCCATTAGAACTTCTGCACATTGACTTATTTGGACCAGTTAAAACTGCTTCAGTCAGTGGCAAGAAGTATGGGTTAGTAATCGTAGATGACTATAGCAGATGGACATGGGTAAAGTTCTTAAGACACAAGGACGAGTCACACTCTGTGTTTGTCACCTTCTGTAACCAAGTTCAGAATGAAAAGGATCTTAGAATCGTTAAAGTCAGTAGTGATCATGGTGGAGAGTTTGAAAAAAAAGATTTTGAGTCATTCTTTAATGACAAAGGCATTCTGCATGATTTCTCTTGTCGTAGAACTCCCCAGCAAAATGGAGTTGTAGAACGAAAGAACAGAAAATTGCAAGAAATGGCCAGAACCATGATCAATGAGACAAACGCTGCTAAGATCTTCTGGGCAGAGGCAATAAACACAACGTGCTACATTCAGAATAGAATCTCCATAAGACCTATTCTGGAAAAGACTCCATATGAATTATGGAAGAACAGAAAGCCCAACATTTCATATTTTCATCCTTTTGGATGTACTTGCTTTATGTTAAATACAAAAAATTATTTGAACAAGTTTGACTCTAAAGCACAGAAGTGTATTATGTTAGGATACTCTGAACGCTCAAGAGGGTACAGAGTATACAATACAGAAACACAGATTATGGAAGAATCAATCAGTGTCCGTTTTGATGATAAGCTTGACTCTGAAAAGTCAAAGCAGAATGAAGTATTTGCAGGTATGGAAGTAGAATTCACAGGTTCTGAAGACAAGTCATCAAAAGCTCTCAACAAAGACACTCCTTCAACATCTGAAAGGAGCACTGCAAGCAATCCAGTAACAACTGCTGATCAACCTCAGAAAAGACTACCCAGAAGCAGCATGGATCACCCAGAAGAAACAATTTTAGGAAGAAAGGAAGATCCAATCAGAACAAGAGCCAGCTTCAGAAACTCTAAAGAATCCCTCATGGGACTTGTTTCTCTGATTGAACCTTCCTCAATTGATAAAGCACTTCTGGACAACGACTGGATTCTAGCAATGCAAGAAGAGCTGAATCAATTCACCAGAAATGACGTGTGGGATCTAGTTCCCAGACCAAAAGGATTCAACGTCATTGGAACAAAATGGGTGTTCAGAAACAAACTGAACGAACAAGGTGAAGTCATCAGAAACAAGGCACGATTGGTAGCACAAGGTTATAGTCAGCAAGAGGGGATAGACTATACAGAAACCTTTGCCCCAGTCGCCAGGTTAGAATCTATCAGACTTTTAATTTCGTTTGCTGTTAATAAAGGCATCACTCTGTATCAGATGGATGTCAAGAGTGCATTCTTAAATGGCTATATAGAAGAAGAGGTTTATATGCACCAACCCCCTGGTTTTGAAAGTACAAAAAATCCAGAATATGTTTTCAAACTAAAAAAGTCACTATATGGTCTGAAACAAGCTCCCAGAGCTTGGTATGAAAGGCTAAGTAACTTTCTGTTAGAAAAAAAATTCACCAGAGGGAAGGTGGACACTACCTTATTTTGTAAGTCAGTTAAGAATGACATCTTAGTCTGTCAAATTTATGTTGACGATATTATTTTTGGATCTACTAATCCTTCTCTTGGAAGAAAATTTGCTAAGTGTATGCAGGCAGAATTTGAGATGAGCCTCATGGGAGAACTGAAATTCTTTCTGGGAATTCAGATCAATCAAAATCTAGAGGGAACTTACATTCATCAGAGCAAATATGTCAGAGAACTTCTGAAGAAATTTGATCTCTCAGAATGTAAGTCATCAAAGATTCCAATGCATCCCACGTGCATTCTGGAAAGAGAAGAGGTAAGCAAAAAGGTAGAACAGAAGGTCTA